ATATATATATATATAACGCATGTATCTATATATATATATATATAGTATATATATATAATATATGTATATAATATATATATATATATATCGATCGTGTGCATATATATATATAAATATAGACATACATACACACGTATACCGGCGGCAGTAGGGGTGCTCCTTGGGAAGTCCTAAGTTGCAACATCTTCCAGAATACTCTTTCGAAAAAAGCCCTTAATTAGTTTGCAGAACCTTTGCCCGTTTTGGGTGATCATACCACCGGCCTGCCGCTAACCCACCCATTAGAAGATTATTCCTATACTCCCCTCTATATCTCAACAACTATATCACTACTACTTCCCCATTACCAATACCAGTATAGGAATAACCAATTACCTCATCCATATAAAAGGATTATTCCTATACCCCCTACATCTCACCAACTATATCACCACTACTACCCCCATTACCAAGACCAGTATGGGAATAACCAGTTACCGCATTCATATTCCCTAAGGTGGTAATATCATCCAAGGTTGTAATCATAATCGAATTATATTCCATAAACTCTTATGATATGCGCTTAAACTCTTATGATATGCGCTTACATTATACTCATGTTCCAACCTCGCTTTTCCGTTTATTGATTGTTGTACTCTCTCATGGCATCCAGACATTCACAACAAGTAATCGTGGCTCTATACTGCATTAAATACCTACAGTACCCGTTTTACAATAATAATATCTCTTAAAACACCCTAAACTTTTCCATTCTTTACATCTAACACATTGCCGATCAGAATGAGGAGGGTAATACTCAGTATTAAAATCCATGGCTATTTTATCAACATATATTGTCATATTATATCTTTTTTTCAATATATGCTTTTATTATGTCTTGGTTATGAAATTATGATAAGCGTTGATTCAAACCAATCAGGGTCCTCATGGAAAGCAACCTCGAAGACCCTTCAACCGAGGCCGCAGGCGACATCCTCACGGCGCGGCCGTCCAGCTCGCTCTTGGCTGCATAAGATCCAGGAGCAGGCACATCAGCCTTCGAAGTAGCAGGCTCGCGTAGAAAAAGAGACCATGGTTCTTTCAGGGCTCTATTGGGTTCGTCTGCGGCTTTGTTCGGCAGCTTGACTTGAGCTTCTCGGATGGTGGAGAGGGAAGTGCAGTTCGAGCACATGAGATCAGAACCAAGGTGGCTCCTGTCTACAAGGCCCAGCTTCTGGGGGCAGCTGCAGTGACGGAGGAACCTCAACTCCAACCCTATCCTTTCGTCGGCGGACCTTGATCCGCCTCACTTCGTCCAGGAAGGAGTCGCGGTTGCGCTTGTTGAACTCTCCTTCGCATGGAGCATGTCGGTTCGGAAGTTCGAAGGCCATCAGGGGTTTAGGTTCAGGGGTAAAAAGGGCTTAGGGTCCAGGGTTACTGGTCGTATGAATGCTTGGTGTGCAGCTTCAAGGGGTCCTTTGCTCCCAGACGAGGGTTATGAAGTGATGACTCCGCGTTCAGACTCCCGGCGTCCTCCGCTAGGCTGGTTGAGCTTGTCGCCATTCGGCAGGAGGATGGTGTCGTAACCTCAAAGGGGTTTAGGGGTATTGTTTACAAAGAATCAACGCTATCGGCTATCGCTATCGCTGTATTTTGACTTTATACCAGCTGTTGAACTTCAGGACATGCTGGGCTCCCTCTTCAACCCAACGCAGTGTTGTCTTGGATCCTCCTTTACTTGACGGCGTGGGTTGGGACGCCCGGACAGGCACTCTCCACAAAGTCCCCAGTCGTCCCCTCGGAACGACTTTTGGGGATCCCGGCTTCCAGGAGCGGGGTTGTGCTTCGTACCCTGGGCGACAGGCAGCTGAGCCAATTCTGCGTGTGGGTTGCAACAGCGGATACGATAAACGATGAAGTGGTCTGATACTTAAAGAGAAGCCAGGAATGCATTGTGCTGAAGAAGCTGAGGCCCCAAATCTTTGAAAGCCTAAAGTAGAGCCTGCTGGCAACCATGGCAAGCCCAGTTAGCCCGGAAAAAAACGATTGAGTGCGTGGCCCGGATGGCATCGTCGACCAAACCAGGAACCTGGTCGTCTGCAGCCGACTCGTTGAAAGGCTCTTTCAGAACCACATTACCACAAGGATGAATGCAGCTAGCCTCCCTGGCTGAGGCTCGTGGCGGCTAGAAAGGCGCTAAATAGGCAATAGGGTTCTGAAGTTTGGGCCCTGAAGCCAAAACATCACCGAAGGCCGAGGCCTAGCGGGGAAGCGACCCCTTCAACAGACTTTTTGCGGTTTCGTCCGGCCTTGGACTTCCCGATCCTCGCCGCAGGGAGCTCGTGGAGACAGGTCGGCGGGGCCTGGCGTTGGAAGGGTTCCCATAAGCTCAGATTTGATATGGTTCGATCTGGGGTGGAGAAGAGCCTTAGGGAGCTCAAACGAAGTTATCAAACTGAGAAAAGCATAGAACATGCTCCCCATCAGAACCATATAAGCCGAACTACTGCACTCCTTCACATCACTGAGAGATCCGAAATCGCATGGCTTCGCTTTAGGCGGCTTCTTTCGACTTGACGGTTGTTGGGCTCTGGGATCGAGACTAGTAGGTCTGATGGAAAGTGGTTCATTTAGGGTCTAGGCTCCGGACTCGGACCTATAGTGACTGGTGGCTGCAGGGCATGACCCGGCTCAGAGGTCAGCTGTATCCACATCTTGCGGTTTAGTCCTGTTCGCCAGCTGGACAACTCGCGTGAAAAAAAAGAACCGCAGCTTTGTCTGCGTGGCTCTAAACCGAGGGGGCGGGACCTCGTAGGTGCCAGGGCCGGGTTGGACGTCGCGCTTCAAGCTGAGACCTGAGATGTTTTTGGTGTCTTTGGCTGTGAAGAAAGGGAGCTCTGACAGGGTCTTACAAGGCTTGTAAAAGGCTCTTACATGTACGTCCGGTGTACACATGTAAGTATTCAGGGCGTAGACTTTTGCAGTCTTGCCTGGGGAGGAGGCCCTCGTCCAAAACGAAGTGTCAGTGTCGGTAAGGGTCGTGACACAGGTCGGCTCCAGTCCAGCAGATTACCGCAAAACTCTGTCTGGCACACCTCCGGTTGCTTGAGATATGGTCCCATGGCACTCCAGCACTTCACGAGTGCAGGATAGACCACAGATCGAAACTCAGAAGGCACTTTGACGCTGCAGCTTCAAGCTTTTTGCAGAAGAGTGCCGCGGTAGCATCAAGCCCTTCAAGCAAGCAGCCAGTCAAAATGGGCCTTGCCTAGAGCGTCAACTCCAAACCGCCACTTTGAACCAAGAGCCGACTTCTCCTTCCTGTCGCACTGAGACCCCGAGGTTCGCGCCACGAGATCCTTTCGTGCTCTCCACTTTCGTGTTGCGGCCCTGAGACAGGTGCTGTGGTACTTATCTTCTGTGCGTCCTGGTCGTGAGGAATTCAGTTTAAGGATCGCAGGTAATTAGACCTTTCACCCATCCAGGAAAGCTTCATGAAACTAGGATTCTCGCGGGCTGTGAAAACTTGTGTAGAAATCCTATAGTATATAGACCCTTTACCTTGAAAGCATAAAGCCCCTCAGTCCCCAAACCTGAAGCCTACTACAATGCTGGTCGGAAAGAAATCAGGGAAAGTGCTCGGCCCGTCCGAGATGAGACGAGAGGCTCAGGGGTTGGTCCTATGAACTCACGATGAATGATGACAAAGAGAAAGAATAACCATAGTGTTAACGGCACTAAAGCAAGAACCATTACATGTAGCAATCAGAGCGGCTTAGATTTTGAAGTGGGTACGGCACCACCAAAGTAGAGAGAGAGAGAGAGCACAGATCCCCTGTTGTTTAACTTAAGCTCCTCAGTTCCTCGAGAAGAAGCCAGATGCACGCTCTGTAGGTCAAGCTTGCAATGTAGGGACCTGAATAAGTAACCCCTTCGGTTCGTAATAAGAGTTTATATGGGTCAGAGTCCTTTCAGGAGAGGGGAATGGGTTGCTGAATCAGGCTCCTACTTGCGTTGGCACCCTGTCAGAGCTAATTGCCAAGGCCTTGCGCTGATCCAGCAGCTGATCCTGCAAGCTACGGGTTGCAGCTCCGTCGTGGAAGCGCTTTGAACGAAGGCTTTGCGCTTGTTGGCTCTGGTCGCTGTGTACTGTTCCGGCACGATGCGAATCTGCAGAAACCGCCCAGTGTCCTTCAGAGCCAACAGCGTCTCGATCCGCTCAATGTTGCCTCAGTCATGGAGTCGAAGCAATCTACGCTTAGAAGGGTGCGAGTTCAGCAGGGTTCATGTGCGTGATATCATGACACAACCATGGAGCCCATGGGAGTTTCAGAAAAGGACCCTATGAGGCCCAACACATCGGGTAGTTGTAAGCAAGCGCCTGCTACATTGGGACTGCAGCCGACCTGTCAACTTTTCGAGGGTACATACCATACAGTAGAATGATTTAGATTCAGAAATTTAGAGACTACAATAGAACAGTCTTACTAATGATGCAAACCCGTAAACAGCGAAGTCTGAGGTTCGTAAAGGTCACGTCAGAAAGGGGAGGTCCCACGGCACTCGAGGCCCGCACTGTCGATCTGCTCACGAAGCTCATCCCGCCTCACGACCCAAATCTTAAGCAGGGCTTCAGGCCCAGCACTGCAGTGTAAACAGTACTCTGTTTATCTGTAGGTGCCTGTAGCCGTCCACACGGTCAATGCGGCTCTTGGCTTCGCGGACGTCCATGAGATGCAGGTGCTGCTCCTGAGGGCTTAAAGCTCAGAATCGAGTCACGAGCTGCCAAACTCTCTCGACGTCTTCAGCAGGCCTGAACACACCCTAAATGGCCTCTGACACAAGAAAAGCCTTGGCAGGAGTCCTCGCTTCGAACTTGCCGGTTTTTCTGCTCGTCTTCCCTCCGCCGCGACACGGTGTCGATGCGCTCCTGGCTGTCAGTTTTGTTAAGTGCAGCTTTGGGTTTGGAGCTTTGGGCTTGTAGTTTGTTTACTGAAGACACACCTTCACTGCATACCGTCTACTATGGCTTACTGATCCACTTCGAGGGCATAAAGGCTTCGTTAAGGGTCTAGCGTGCAAAAGCTTGTTGGGCTTGGAAAGATGAGAGCTACCTGCCTTGTGTCTTTGCCGGGTCGTCTGAAGTCTCCAGCGGCCGTTTGGAGACGGCGCCGAAGGGTCCAAGTTTACCCGGCGCCCACTATGCGAAATCCCCGTCCAGAAAAAAAACACACACACACACACACTGACTGACTGTCTGAGACATCTCTGATCACGGTCGCCGGCCCTGAACAGGCGCTCACTCTTTCGAGGGCCTGTATCCTCTCCAGCTGCTTCTCTCCTTCGAGGCGCCTTTCCTGCACAAGAAAACTCATGGGCTCAGCTGGTTCGAATGTGCACATGTTGTGGGGGCTTGAAAGGACCGAGCCGAGTCTCATCTTTCAGCCTCGTTGGGTGCAAGGTGGGGTTCTTGGTGCTTTTCATCGGATTGAGGGAATCATAATCTGCGCTACCGGCATGGCCCGATCGACAGAAAGGACGTGGAAGCTATATTCCAGTCTCGCTTGAAAAGCCCTGATCCAGGCAGATGAGTCAAGCATCTGCTTAAGGGTTCATGGGCAGCTTTCGCAATACTTCCGCAAACCGCAATTTGGGTTGCGAGTAGCTACATGTACGAGTATTGTTGCACCCCCCAACCCAAATTTACTCAAGCCTGTGACCATGTGTCTGACCCTTACTCAGACAAGCATATTTCAGAAGCACTGAGGGGCTAGATTGACTGAGTAATGCAAAAATCCTGATCAGGAGGGGCCATTGCATCGCTAACACTTCAGGCTTGTTCCATACAACTCTGATCTAACCCCTGTACAAGACCCTTATGGAAACTTTCTAGAATACGTATTTTTTATATACATCCACACCAACGCTGGGAAAGTGCCTCTTGCAGGATCTCGGTCTTCTCCTGCTCTGGGAACAGCCCAACAGCTACTTGCAACTATACTGTCTTGTAGCCTGCTCGTCTTAGACTGGAGGATTATCAGAACATAATTTTGGAGATATCGGTACAAGAAGGAACAATCAGGCAGGAAACGCACTCAAGACGAATACCCAAGACCGTGTAGGAGCCCAACTCAGGACATTTCGGCGGGCTGAAGCGACCTTCCAAAGCTCCGATGCCCAACATCCCGTGGACCACCAGCTTCCACTTCCCCTCTAACTTGTCACCGGTAGGGTTCAGAAGCGTAGGGCCCCAGGATATCAATACAAGTGCCGCATCGCAGAGAGAATTCCAATAGAAGAAACACTTTTATGAAGCCTCAAGCGCACACTTAACAACGCTTACCGAGCCCATACAAGCACGCAAACAAAGAAACACACAAACAAACAAACAAACAAACAAACAAGCAAGCAAGCAAGCAAGCAAGCAAACATATACACATACGTACATACATACATACATACATACATACGTACATACGTACATACGTACATACGTACATACATACATACATACATACATACCTACACACACAGACATACATACACACA